AATGATGATGATGATGATGATGATGATGATGATTATGATGATGATGATGATGATGATGATGATGATGGAGGAGGAGTATGAGGGTCCGCTGAAGTCTTCAAATCACAACAATGTCACTCACTGTTTATACTGTACGTATCCACCTCTGGGTTGTAGGTGGACCTGGACATCCAGAATTTGGCAGCCTCTCTGACCACTTCTGCACCGTCCATGTGGGCCATGAACTCCAGGTCATTGGTCAGCTGCCAGTACTGCTTCATCATGAAGCTGACGTCAGCCGTGATGTGAATCTCGTGGTCAGACACAAACTTCGCCGGACACGTCTCCAAGCCTACAGAAGAGAAATGTCCGGACGTGCAGCCAGGCATGTTTATTGTGAGCGTCCTTCGCCTCATCAAGATAAGTAGGGTCATTTAGGAGGCGGGCTGTTTTGACTTTGACTGTCATAACTAATCAGGGGTGTGTATGATTATTATATACGTCGGTACTTTATCGGGACTATATTGGTACCACATGTACGGGGGTGGGGGAGGGAGGCAAAAGTAAGTATACAGTAAGTAGCACATCATAGTTTTGATACTATATCCATTAAGATTATTTGAGGAACGTGAGGGTACCAACAGTAAGAAGTTTGAGTATCTAAGGAATGAAGGCATGTGCAATTTTCCATGGTTTGTATGATATAATAAAGGCAATAAGTATTGTGTGTGTTTCCTGTTTTCGCAAATAAATGTATACTTATTTTTGCACAGCCCTGTAAATCCCAACTGAAAAAAGAGGTTCTCTATACAATATTGTTACCTGCAAGTGAACCGAATTCGCGTCACATATGTGTGCATGGCAAGGTATGTATCCTTCCGGCAGTGACATCTCTTTGGGGGGGATTCAGGGAGGTTGGACTGCCCCACCCGCTACCCAAGAGAGGCCGTGGCCCTGGCGAAGAGCACACTCTTCGTTGCTCCAAACATTTCGAACGGATAGGCTACCACACACACACACAACAACAACAATAACAACAACAACAACAACAACATAATCAAAATCAGTGTAAATCGTCGAAAATGTTATCAAGGTTATAGAGAGGTAACTCTCTTTTTTCGTTATTTTGAACAAGCTAAGTCTTATAGAAACTATTACTTTAACGTTTTTCATTCATAACTTTAATAACTAACTAATACTAGGCACAAAATCAGGACACGGGACAAAAAAGAGGGGGACGGGAGTACCTCGGCCACGCAGACACAAAATCAGACCTGATGACAATTACTGTTCTGCAGGACAAGATAGAAGCAAAGAAAAACACGGAAGGCGTCCTACATTATACTTTAAAAATTTTAAATCCAACAGTGGCGTGCAACTTTTTGAAATTATATATCAAAGAGGAGATCGGGGGAGATGGAGGCCTATTGTGGAAATGAGTGGGACACCATCGGATGACCGCAGCCAGGGTGACTGGTGACAGCTGGTGATATCGGAATCACAAAGTTCTTGCTGTTTTGAGTTAATAAAACTATGACGTCAGAAACTAAATGTTTTATCTGCTCTATCAAAATCGTAAAATGGTTCGGAGTCGTTATCAAGATATTCAAAGAATTGCATTCGAAAAAGGTTGACATAATGTGAAAATCAAAATCTTTGACGCCAAATTTCTCAAAACTAGGTATTGAAAAGATACAACTTTGTAATTCTGAGGTTGCAACAGAAGGTGATCTCGGATAGGGCAGAACCAGATGCGGGAAGAACCATGAAAACTCATCCAACAACGCAAGTTAAAGACCTTCAAGAGAAGATTCGAACCAGTTTCTTCCACATCGTATCAACTTATCTATCTATCTATCTATCTATCTATCTATCTATCTATCTATCTATCTATCTATCTATCTATCTATCTATCTATCTATCTATCTATCTATCTATCTATCTATCTATCACTAGTCAACAAAAATTAAGGAACATTTGAGAAAAGGTGTATAACTTCGAAAGCAAACTTCGAAACGCAATGAAATTTGGTACACATTTTAATCAACATGTGTATAGCAAGTACCAAAAAAGAAAATGAAGTTATTCCATTTTAACTTGCTTGAAAAGTTAATTGAGTTTG